GGTGGGTGTTTTGTCTCCACTCTGAGTCTGTGCTTTTGTGCGTTGCAGGCCCTGAAAACCAGGATCAGCAACCTTCCTACCGTGAAGAAGTTTCTGCAGCCTGGCAGCACGAGGAAGCCTCCCATAGATGACAAAACTTTAGAAAAGTTAAAGAAGATTTTCAAGATTCCATAAAGCAGGCATGGATGCCCAGCACGTGCAGGACCAATCTTCTCAAGTTCTCCAACAATGAAGCGCTCTTCCGAGATGTAGATCCTGGCTCTTGTGAGAATAGGAAGCTTTTCCGAAGTAATTAAATAATAAACCCCTATGAGCCAAATTAGTTACGATTTATTCTTTTTCATTAAGATCAATATGAAATACAATTTTCAATCTCCTCGTTTTTGTCTTTCTCAAAATTAAAAATTTATAAAAAAGGGACTATAACCTATGAGATCTCCTTCATCTTTCCCAGAATCATCATATAACACCTGTCACATAGTCCGTCAAAGAGTCAAGTGTAGAAATTCATACCTGACATGCACATGTATTCATAGAAAATAGCTACCTTTCTGGGTCATGGCATAAAGAAATGTTCTGTTAGAAGCCACTTTCCTTCTTATAATAAAATGTGTTTTTCTTTTTCTTTTTTTTTTTTTATTAGCCGTGGCATACCCAGTTGCAGATTGTCCTGCTTTAACAAATTCCAAATCACAGCTCTAGTGGAGGATAAAATAACAAACAAGGCAAAAGTTTGAAAAGAGTTTGTTCATGCAAATACTCTGTAAAGTATTTAAAATAATTAGTTTATATTTAAAAATACATTTTATTCATAAAGCATTTATTTATTTATTTAGGAACACACGTCAATGAATCCATGTTTATAATAGAAAAACTCTATTAAATTTACTAGGGGTCAAGAACTGTTCTATGTGCTTTATGACTCAAGTGACTTAATACTGGTAAGAATTATTTGAGATCAGCACATTTTTTACCCTCATTGTATTGGTAATGACCCTGAGGCAGAAATTGCTTATGTATCTCCCAGAAGGTCTTACCGCCAGCAAGTGGCAGAATCAGGCCTGGAACCCAGGCCCTCTAACGACTGAATCCAGCTGTTAAACATCATACTATATACGTTATCTCACTAGCTTCATTTTATACATAAATATAAAGATCAATACAGTGTTGTTGTTTTTTTCCATTTTAAATGAAGGTGAGAATACTTAGGGTTTAACTAAAGTTACTGAGGAATTTAAAAATATATAATAATATGTACTGAACGACACAGCATGGCAAAGTCATTTCTGCCTCAATAGTAGGACCATGAGTTAGCTAAAATGTTTTTTTTTCTAATGAATTTTTGAAAAGCTGTGTGCCGACTATGGACTCTTTGGTGTCCTAGGAAATGGGGACATAATGAACAATGAAACAGACCAAGCTTTGGTCTCTGGTGACCCTGGTGTCCCTTACAGCCCATACCCACCCTGGCACTTCGTCATCTGCTGCTTAATGCTCCGTGCAGCCTCTAGCTGAGCTTCTCTCAGTTCACTCACTGTCACTCAGACTGTGGCTTCCACAAAACACATTATATGTATAAATTACATGTCAATGACTATATGTAAAATCATTTTTCTCCGGCCTGTCTCTGGGCCAGAGTGGCTGGATTAGGAGCGACTTCTAGCTTTAGCCACATTCCGTGCCAGTACTTAACACCCTCCCAGAAAACCTGTGCTTTGGCATATTGAGTTCTCCCCTTACAGTGAGTCCCCCCTAGTGTGAGGGGGACAGAAGCAGGGAGCACACAGACACACAGGACTTCCTGTCTGCAGCTTCAGTTCCCTCTAGTCTTCTTTCTCCTTGCCAGAGTGGTTTTCCTAGAATGCAGA